CTTGCTTCTACTCTAATTTGGCTTCTATTTACATAAGATATATTTTTTCAAGCTTTTTCTTTTAATCTATGTGTATGCTTACTGGTGAAATAAGTATCTTCTGAGTAGCAATGTGGCTCTTTTGATATCACCCATTTAGCCTATCTGTGCCATTTGACTCATAAATTTAATGCATTTACATTTGAGGTAATTATTGATAGGTAAGGATTTAATACTAAAATTGTTTTGTTTCCTTATTGTTTTTTAGGTAATTTGCTCATTCCTTCATCCTTTGTTGCCTTCCTTTGTGATAAAGTGATTTTGTGTGTGTGCTTTGATTCCTTATTTTTTATATTTTATGTTTCACTATAGAATTTTTTTCCTTGTAGTCACCAGGAAATATCCTAAAACTTTCTTACAGTATAACATGCATTTTTATTTATTTTTTATTGAGTTTATTGGTACATTTTAGGCATACAGTACAGTTACATTCATTACTGGGATCTTGTACCTTTACATGACAGGTCTTGGTTCTCATTTTTTCCCCTTGTCCCTGCCCTCCCTTCACTCCCTCCTCCCCTCCCCATTTGCAAACACTTTATTTCCATTTTCTCATTTTCTCATATTTTTTTCTTTTCCTTATTCCCTTTCCCTTACCCTTCCCACTTTCCCTACAATACCATGCATTTTTAAAGTGGTGTGAGTTCGAGACCAGCCTGGGCTACATAGTGAGTTCCAGGTCAGTCTCAACTGTATAGTGAGACCCCATCTCAAAAAACCAAAAAATAAAAGAATTTCTAGTTTTGGTTCTTTGAGGAATCTCCATAGTAATTTCCACAGTGCTTATACTAGTTTACATTCCCACCAACAGTGGAGAAGCATGTCTGCTCCCTGGACCCCTCAGTCTCACCAGCATTTATTATTATTTGATTTCTTGATGATTGCCATTCTTTCTGGGGTAAGATGGAATCTCAGTGTTTATTTAATTAGAATTTCTCTAAGGTACAAGGATGTTGAGCATTTCTTTATATATTTATTGGCCTAAAATGATTGCTTGTAATTCTTTGTCAGGCACTTTATACTCCCCATTTCTATGGAGTTGGCTACTAGTTCTTTATTTTGTTCTTTTAAAGATATCATGTTTTCCCTGACCATTTTTTATCCTTGTACCCTTGCATGTCTAAATATTTGATTAAGGAGACATTCATTCTGATCATTACAGAATGGGCACAGCAGAAGAAGCTCTTTATCAGACAACTGTCCAGGGATAATCTGTAGGTGGACTTGATGCAGAAATCCTCATGCAGGCAGGCTGGCCTAGGGCCTCCTGGGTGCATTCTAGCAGGCCTGAACTTCGGGTGTGTTTGTAAAGGCCTGGTGCCTGTATCCACAAGAGCTATCCTGATACAGAGGTCTACTGAAATGAAGGTAGACCCAAAGTTCACCAGATCTGTGAGCTATGAGGACTGTTCCTGAGCCTAGGCCCATGGAGGCACGCCTAGAGGCTGAGTGGGTGTCTGCATGTGCAGTCTTATAGTCCTGGTCCATAGTGACTGGCCTGGAGCCAGGGGTGATAGGGATCCGATTGTACTGGAATGAGCCAGGAGCCTGGATCTGTGGTGGATGCCTGGGTCTTAGGTCCATGGAGGTATGCTTGCCAATGTGGGCCAAAACTTGTGACCACAGGGGCCATCATGGAGACTGAATATGCAGGTACAGGCGTGGTACCTGAGGCCATAGGGCCAGTCTTGGTCTTTTTTGTTTGTTTTTTGTTTTTTGTTCTTTTGAGATAAGTTCTTTCTATTAGTTCACACTGACCTTGAACTCACTAAGGAGCCCAGGCTAGCCTCAAACTCATGGCAATGCACCTGCCTCAGACTCGCAAGTGCTAGGATTATGGGCATGTGCCACCACTCTCGGACCGGTTTTGATCTTGGCTCTATGGGTGCTGACCTAGTACTGGGGTTGAGCTAGTGTTTGTTCCATAGGTGGTAACCTATAATCTGGGGCTGTAGAATCCAGCCTTATAGTATAGTGGATCTAAAGTCTAGGATTATGTAAGCCAGCCTGGCACTAAGCCTCCCTAAAAGCTGGGACAGTGCTGGAGACTGACCCACAGCGAGCCAGTCTGGTGCTGGAATGAGCCTTGAATCCAAGGCTATAGATGCTGTCATTATGGTGCCCTGCATCCTGAGTCAGCAAGGACTGACCTATTCTAAGGTCTAGGGTGATGCCTTGATGCTGGGGACAACCTGAAACATTAGTCCACAAATCTTCCCCTGGAGCCTGGGACTGTGGAACCCAGCCTAGCACTGAGGAGGTCCTAGAAGCTGGGTTCCCTGGAGCAGACCTGGTTCCTGAGGTGGTCTTGTCTGTCTACACAGTATGCTCACTGGGGCTGAGACAAAGACAGATAAGACAGTGTGGAGCTGTCCTTCCTATATTCTTCCATAGATCTTTCTTCTTTCCTTTTTTTTTCATTCTTTCTTCCTATAGTAAGGATGGAACCCAGTACCTTTGCTCTGAGTTACATCCTCAGCCATTTTTTAAAGGTTTATTTTGAAACAGGGTCTTGTTAAATCACTAAGTTGCCCAAGCTGATATCAAAATTTCAGTTCTCTTGCTTCAGCCTCCCAGAGTGTTGCTGTTTGCTGCCTCACTCAGCTATATATTTTATTTCTTTACTATAGTGTAGTCTCTCAGCTCTTGTGAATATACTTGCATCTGTACATAGTTACTCAAGTTAATGTTTTTGCAAGGATATGAGTACTAGAAAATCTTATTTTGCCATTTTATTGAAATCATTCCTCTGTGTAATCTCTAAACTAATTTTTTCTAAAATAATTTTAACAGCACCTGACATTCGGTAAGTATTAGTTATGTGTGTGGTGGGCTGTTCCTGTAATTCCAACACTTCAAGACGAAGGCAAGAGGATACTAGTTTGAGTCCAGCCTGGGCAACTTAACAACTTAACAAGATTCTTCCTCAAATAAAAAAATAAAAAAGGACTGGGAATGTAGCTCAGTACAAAGATTCCGGGTTTAATCCCCAGTAGCAAAAAAAAAAAAAAA